GAGTGGTGAAAAACCGCTTCTGAATGAGCCGGTTCAATTCTTTTTCCCTCCCTGGATTAGGAGAAGCGCCAGACAGGTAACCGCGAAGCGCTTTTGAAACCCAAAGAAGCGGTTGTAGTACCGCTTCACAGATGAGCATTTACAGGGGGAAGCGTTTTGCAGAAAAGAACCAATAGTAGATTCTTCGAGCGGTTCTGTTATAGAAGCGATTTCACGATTCGGACCCTAAACTGAGTGGCTGTTCCGATTAAAAACCGCTTAAAGACAGCTTCGCAACGAGTGGATTGGTTCTTTTCCCATCCCTGAAATAAAGGGACTACCGCTCGGGAATGCGGAAAAATATTTTTTCACAAAAAAAAACAGCAAATTAAAGCTTATATATAATAGATTTTAATTATATGTACCTTCACATAATACTCTTGCTTTTAATCAATCACAAATTTATTTTTAAGAAGTATCTTTATATCCTTCTATTCTTAGTTTTAGTGTTAAACAAATTTGTAAATAATTATTGTAAAATGTGTAACTTTATTTTCTGCATCCCACGTACATGGTATAAAATACGTACAGGTGCCTCATGTGAAGTCAGGGGACCTGCCTCCCCCCTCCCCAGAGAAACATCCTAGTTACGCCAATGCTGAACTGATATCACATTCAGAACTTGTGTCACTTTCATTATTACTTGAATCAGTAATGCCAGTTTCATCCAGTCGCAGTATCGCATATATTTTCAGTTGACCCAACGCGAAATAACTGTTGTCTGAAAAATGCCGACTGCATATGTATGTTTGTTTTAATGTATTATCAGGCAATTCCACCCAATCATCGAGACCGCAGTTTACAAGCCACGTAATACATCAATTATTGTCATTACAGTAATGTCCTGATAAGTGTGAATGCCTTGGTTTCGCAGAGTCACACTTACGGTGAGCACGGACAGTTGTCAGCACCTGGTCAATCTGATTTTTGCTTGAAGCTCGAGCCTCGGCAGCTTGCCTTTGTAGTGTTCCGACATAGAAAAGGATATCAAGTGAAAAACAAAAAGAGGAAGCATCTCTTTCTACTCGATTTGATTGCGTGAGCCCACCTGCGATGCTCCCACTGGCCAGTGGTTACATTGTAATCGCTGCAGTTCACAGTTATCTTACTCGGTCTCGATGTGTCTCCTTCATTCTCTTCGTCACACAGTCCGATTGTGTGTGTACCGTTTCGACCAATAATAAAAATACGTGTGACTGGAGGTGATCCAGCTAAGTTCATTCATTGGCAGCTCTCTGGGCAGTTTCTGACGATTGAACGCTTCCACGAAGCGTCCTACATATACATATACATTTCCCCGCTCTGCCGTCGAGTCGGTCGTGACAATCGGTGAGAAGAAAGAGACTTTTTTTGACGAGTTGATGCGACGGCTGAACGAGAGGAGATTAAGAAAAGATTACAGTCCCGAGTATCGGTGAGACACGCTTATGCAACGATAAAACTTTTTTATATTTGATTCCTTGTTAACGAAACGTTTACTAGTATATTGGTGAGATTTTTCTGATTAAAATGATACCAAATACGACATAATTTGAATCATATTTACTCATGTAGAAAGTGTTAAACAATTCATATTCGTTCATTAGCGCTTGGGATAAATTATACGTAAATATGATCCAAACTATATCGTGTTTGGTCTCATTTTAATCAGAAAAATCTCACGAATATGTTCGTAAAAGTTTCGTTAACAAAGAACCAAAAACAAAAAGTTTCATCGTTGCATTAGTTCCCCCTGTTCAGCCGTCGGATCGTGAAAGTGAAGCCGTCGCCGCGCGCTGGGCAAAAAATTATACGCTTGACTGGTTCCACGGCCCCCTTCCCCAGTGGTGGGGATGACGATTTCACAGTTATCGTGAGCAAATCGACTCACACTTATCAGGACATTACTGTAATAGGGAAAAAATGAACTAAAGTGCCATCCGTTACATTACGGTTCATTAAATCGCAATTAGGATATGAACATTTCTTAAAATGTGTTTTATTGGTCTGAAGTTCCATGCTCTACGAATTCCAACAGTATTCAATATAAAAATTGGTAAACACAAGAAAGCTATATATAACACATAAGAAAGACAATACAAAGATCCACTACTGATAATAACAACAAACAGACAAAACAAACGGTTAAACAAATTGCTCCCTTCTACTAACCTCTCTGTGGTCTGTTTCACTAAAGAAGAACCCTGAGGGGTTTCCGTGCCTCGGCGCGTGGCCTGGTGGGTATCCAACGCAAGCTGAGTATTTCGTGCGACGTTGTCGCGTTTTCAATGCCACTATGTGTCTCTTTTCATCCTTCGGCGCGAGAGCCTCTCGCTCAGTCGCTCGATAAACCAACTTCCTTCTTTACCCTGCGATGTCCACGTGTAGCGTTAAAAATTCAAAATGGCGTATAGCTGCTTCAAAGATATAGCGTTAGCCATAAACCTGACCGACCCTAAAGTTTATGTGTTTCGGTAGCCTAATCCTGTCATTCGATACTCTTGGTTTTTCCGTTTTAATGTAATTAAACAAGTTCTTATAACGTACTAATTTCAGATTTAAAATACACCTGGCCCTTTTATTCTTGATGGAAGCTTACGAAAACGTACATTTCTTTCAAATATTCCAGTCTTTTTTGTTTTATTTCTTGAAACCCCATAGCTGAAAGTGGCGTACGACCCTGAGTGCGGTAGGACACAATGGGCCACCGATGATCGAGTACTAATGGTTTAACGGTTAACCTCATTTATGGCTAACGCTATATCTTTGAAGCAGCTACAGTTGCTTCTGTAACGTAACTCAGGCCTGGCCAAACATTCGCCCGTGGGGCTACATAAAACAATAACACCAGCCCTCATCACACGCTTGTGTTGTGTCTTCACCCTCGGGCAGAAGATGCGCGCGCATGCGGTACCTGCCCCACTTCCAACACATAATCACTACGTCAACGTGTATTGCCAACAGAAAAGGGTAGAAATTGTCATACATGACTTTGATTCGTTGATTCTTATAAAGCTGTCGAATCATATCTTCATCTTTGTAAGAATCAACCAATCAAAGTTATGTATGATAATTTCTACCCATCTCTGGTTGCCAACATCCGCTGAGTAGGGACTTCGGGAGTGCCGCAAGTGAGGACAGTCACGGCATGCGCGCGCACCTCCTGCCCAAAGATGACGACACAACACAAGCGAGTGGTGAGGGCTGGTGTTATTGTTTATGGGGTCCCGTGGGCGAATGATTGGCCAGGTCTGACGTAACAAACTTCTAATATTCTATCCGGGGATGAAATGAGTTCTAAACGGAGATGTTACCCCAATTTTGAGTCGCTACTTTTAAAATAAGATTCTTATATTTCATTCGTAACAAACTGTTTTCAACTCATCAATATTTGAACTGTCACCACTTGAAATCATGAAACATGATTATAAGTGATCAACAGTAACTTAAATAATAAGTCTAGTTTGTTAGAACCCCTGGAGGAGTATCATTTAAAGAAAAAATATATGTTACAAAGCATATAAATATTTTTGAATTCCTTCTAGGTCATTATCATTTTTATATATTTCTGAATATGAGTTTCGCGGTTAGAAATTAATTCCTACATGCAATTATGTAACTTTTATATGTAATGGGGACAATTATATTTCAAGTAGCCAAATGATGTGCTCAATTATTACGACTGGTGACAATATTCATTCTTTTCTAAATTAAGAAAAGATTTAAGGATCATAGGTGCTACATAGGACACGGGCTGTCGGGGTCCTTAAGACCATTGTAACGTCAAGTTTAACGTACATTTTGCATAGTAGCTGGGTCCAATGCATGCAAAATCGATCACGTTTTGTACTCGATGTCAGGGATTTTGTCGAAACCGAAATATGACTTAGTCCTTGTGAATAATAGGGGGTCTGTCATCATTTTGCTGTTCTCGAATTTGTTTAAAAAATACAGGCCGTGAAAATTCACAATTATTGCCTATTTTTGTGGATCCGGAGTGTACTAAATAAGAATTTTTATCGTACGACTTTGTTCTTCGATCATTTATATTAGAAAATCCTTTTTATAACATCGAAGACTATAACCAAATGTTTCTTATACAAATTACACCCGGACTGTCAGGATTAAAACACTTGAAGGAAATATGATCGTATTCCTTGAATTTCTACTTAAAGGTATGGTAAATTTGACAGTAGGAACTTTTTCTTAATTCTTTATTTTAACTCTTGACGTGTCAAAATGTTTGGGGTTTCGTCAATACGCTCCGCCATTTCTAGATAACGGATGATTGAACACAGTCCCCAATAACATTGTATATAGGTCCTTCTCGGAGAGGTTTGTAATGCGTGCGATAGAGACAGACGATCGTCGAATGTCATTGGCCAAGACGCGAAAAATGAGACAGACACAAGCGCCGTAAACGTGTCGCGATCGTGGCAACACCGCGAAGAGTCAAGGAGACCTCCCAGGGCTCTTCTTTAGTGAAATAGACCATATTCATTATCAGTGATATTGTTTCCCATTATTAAACTACGGATTTTTATTTTAATAACGAACTACGGTCACTTCTCGTTCATTTTCTGTTACATTACTGCTTCGTTGATACGTTATTTGAAAAGGAACTTTACGTATTCCTTATCATCTCTCTTCAAATAATTATTGTTTTCAATTCTGTTTAAAAAAAGGACTGTGTATTCGTTGTTTTACGTTGCACATAGGCCGGAACTGTTTTTACCCAAAACAGTTATAACATAACCTCCATTCCTGATTGCAGTTTCGACAACTGAAACCGACATCATCACCATTTGTAATCCCTGATTCAAACTCATCCAAGTAAAAATTACGGAATGGCAACAATATTAATCGAGTGATAATAAATCGACCCAATAACTTTTTTCTTTTCCCAAATGATTCTTTAAAAAATCTTTATAGATGCGGCTGGAGTTGTATGCGTACAAGGACCGATAAGTTATTATACTTACGTGTATGGTTGCTCCTCGCCACGCATTTCACATATGACGTTTGTCAGGGCCATTATATAATTCTTGGCCAACGTAAGCGTCTCGATTTTACTGAGCTTTCTTTCCATTTTTACATGTGGTATCACCTCGCGCAGTTGCTGAAAAGGATAACATTCTTTTTAATAATTACCGGAATTCCAATTGTATCGGTGAACAGAGTGAAGAAATATGATTGTCCAATAGACGAGGAAAGTCCACAGATTGCTTCAAGTTTTAAGGTCCCCTTAAGGTCAATTTACACTACGGCGGGCCGAGCACGGGACGAGCCTTCGACGAGTCGACAAAAATATTTATCAACGTGTTTCGAATGAAACAATGTACAGAGCGCAATCGTATACACATGTCCAGAAACTCCCGTGGAGGGGGTGATCTCGTAAGGAAGAACAAAAGTTTCGTGAATGTTCCGCTCGCCACACAGCATTGCAATCGTATTGTACGTACGTCATGTCTTAAAAGTAAGAATAGACGCATGCGCCCTGATGCGCCACAGGGAATGTATATTACCGCAACTGAACCCACGGACCTAGAAATTAGAAGACAGAGAGCGAAATCCCATTCCTAGGTCCATGACTGAACCATAAGACCGTAGCGCCCCCACTTCGTGGCAAAGTTGAAAAGTACAGTTGGCGTCTTCAAGGGATCACCTCCACTACGGGAGTTTCCAGACCTGTGTATACGACCGTAGTACTGGGTGAATCTTCCGCTGCTAGGGTGGAAAACAAGACCCCTCCTTTCTCGTTTAAAGCTGTGCCCCTAAACGTGTGATCAGTAGCTTACTCCTGGTGAGCAGCCTATGCATGTGACAGAATGAGAATCGAAAATCGCTCAGTCTCTGTCACACGCATAGGCTGCTCGCCAGGAGTAGCTAGCGACTTTTAAACGACAAGGTAGAGGCCTTCCTTTTTCACCCTAGCAGCGAGGGTGAACTTTTATTACTTTTACTACCGCCGAGTCGCGGGCGAGGCTCGGATGTGGATCGTCGAATGCTTATCGAATGCTTGTCGAAGACTAGTTGACAACGATTTTTAGACGGGCTAGTTCAGCCCTCGTCTTCCGTTCCTGTTTTTCGAGTCAACTACTTTTTGGCTCGTTGACCGCACGTTGCATGTATATCGACAGTGCAGTCGTTTCTAGCTCGTCTGGTGCTCGACCTGTGCATGGCTCGTGCTCGGTCCGTTGCAGTGTAAAGATTCATTTATACTGCGACGAGCCGAGCACCAGCCGAGCACCAACCGAGCACCAGCCGGGCACGAGTCAAGCACCAGCCGAGCACGAGCCCAGTACCAGCCGAACACCAAGCGAACACGAGCCGAGCACGAAACAAAAATGTTTTTCCATATGTTTGTAATAAAACAATCTATACTACTGAGCTCGTCGAAGGCAGGTCCTTTGCTTGACTCGTCTTCAGCTCGTCCTAGTATAAATGGACCGTAAATGGACCTTTAACGGATGAAGTTTAGGAGCATTTGTAGGAAGACAAAATTTAAAAAAAACTTCTATATGCAGTGGACTCTAACTATATTGCCACTAAACATATTGCCACGCGAGGCACTTCCTCTCCACACGTACTTTCTCCCACAACGTTACGTACACTGGCGCACCAGTACAATCCAGCTTCAGCGCAGGCGCTGAGGCCGAGGCTATGACGATAGAACTTAGCATGGAGGGGGTTCTGAACTCATTGCCATTTTACTCCCCTACAGCCTCGACCACAGCAATGTAGTTAGAGTCCACTGTATATTTTACTATTATTATATCATTATTTAATTCTTTGAAAATCAGATCGAAATGAATAACTTTAACTAGCAAAACAAAGAAAAATAATTATAGAATGACTGAAATTAGTTTCCTTGCACTAGATAATAGTTATTATATATAATAAATATACAATAAAATTGACCATCGAAAACTTCGAGGATTCATTTGTTAAATTATATGTATACAGGGTGGGGCAATAGCTATGTCCACTTTGAATATTGCCGTTATTTGTAATAATATGAAAAAATGTTATATACAAAACTTACACAGTATAAAGGGGGGCATATTGTGACACAAACATTTTCTGCGTGGGTGAAGGCATAGAGGAGATTTCAAGATCATCTCTATTTTTTTAATGGAATGCTATGTTTCTTTTATCGCGATATGATAGCCGATGTTGATACGACTTTAGCGAGCTATAATCGAAGGTTACGCAAGGTCAAATGCTCGAAATGGTGGCTGTTTGCGTCAATGCAAAGTTGCAATCTTCGTATCGCTGCATCACGTGCATGTTTTATCGTTTCTGACCTTATTCTAGCACATGCTGCAATTATCGATCTCAATGCTCCCCAGAGAAAAAATCTAATGGGGTTAAATATGGAGAACGAAGTTGCCAACAAATTAATCCTCCACGTCCTATCCATTTATTTGGGTAAAGTTCGTTCAGTGCATCTCTTACTCTCCGAGCATAATGTGCTGGACACCCGTCGTACTGTAACCACATCATTTGGCGATCGTTTAGTGGTACATTTTCTAATAAAATCTCCTATGAAATAATACAACATGTGCTAGAATGAGTTCAGAAACGCTAAGACGCATTGACGGAAACGGTCACCACTTCGAGTATCTCCTATAATGTAAGAAAGTTTATTTTACTACCACATTTGACCTCGCATGACCTTCAATGATAGCTCGCTGAAGTCGTCTCAACACCGGCTATCAAAACGCGATAAAAAAAATAGCATTTCATTAAAAAAAATAGAGATGACCTTGAAATCTCCTCTATGCCTTATTTTGTATATAACATTTTTTCATATTATTACAAATAAGGGCAATATTCAAGGTGGAAATAGATATTGCCCCACCCTGTATATATGAAGCATAGACTTTATGCCTCTCTCGTTTTAATTTTTTGCTTCTATTAATTCGAAACTTTTCTGCGCAATATATCTTTTCCCGAACGAATCGGGACAAAACAATGTGTATTCACGCGAGTATCATTTTGAACTTCTCCGTTTCATTTAATCTCATCACTACTTCCTAAATGGAGTTATTCATAAGTGTGGTCGAGTGTTCTCTGTATCTGTCTCGTAACTGAGAGAAGCGAGTCGTATAGTAGTATACATAAACAAAACTAAATACGAAGCCGATTAAACCGATAGTCCGGTTTCGCCACCATTGACGAGTGACCGTCAGTGTGAAATGTCTTCAACTACGAAATTAATAATCTAATAGCAAATAAATGGATCACCCATAAAACTTTGCGATAAATCCACTGCATACAACTGGATGAAAGTACCAATTCTATGGAAGCAGACGCAGCTTCAGAAAAATAACAGGCTGAATGGGAAGGAACGAAAAAGAATACGAAAAGAAGACTGACCAACAAATGATCAGACAGAAGTAATAAAACAGGAAAGTAAACGAAATGGTTAGAGGACCCTACTCCAACAACAGGGCGTAGAGATTGCTGTTGTTAAACTTGTAACCCCCAGCAGTCACGATCGCGGCAGCACAAGTGCCCCCGATGTCAAACTCATTTCTCACACATTTCGCAACTACAAACACCGTTTATTGTTGGTGAGAATTTTAATGCTAAAAATCCCACGTGGAATAAATACATGTCAAATCTGAGCTGTCGGACTTTGTACAATCATGTTCTTCGGGCTCCATATCGGTTTGTCTCTCCGGATAGCTTCATATTTAACGGAGGACCGAGGGTTCGATTTCTTTCGACACTTTCCTATTACCGTATAGCACGAGCGTCGATGCACGGTTGTCAATGATTCTATCACTCAGCCCAGACTGGTGATATTGCGGCTATTATCTTGCCGAATTATCGATTGTGAGAGTGCAAAGCACCCTCTGAATTGTATTAGAACGGTCTCCTGGGCGAACTATCGGAAATTTACTGGTAGTTTCCAGATACAACGTTGCCTAGAGGATATAAATGAGATAACCTTGTGCATTCGCACATTAGAATCGTTTCTTGTAGCTCGTCACAGGAAAGCCTCCTTCTTTTCCGAAACGGCTGCCCTGCCAAATTTTGTTGATAATCCGACGCTCACCTCGTTAATCGAGTCAAGACGTATTTTGCTAAAGCTTTTCAGTCTACCAACGCGTCATACTATCGTGATGCCACGAAGCAACATTCCGGAGGGATAAATATAATCACCGCGGATTAGACGCGGGATATAGAAGGACCGTCTGAAATCGTTGAATAAATCCGATCCTAATTTTTGGTGAAATTTCAAAATCCTTACACACAGGAAAACGATCTTTCCTCCGTTAAACAGCAGCAGTCCTGGAACAGCTGACTTGGTGCCCGGGGGAAGATGGCAAATACCTTCGCCCTGTTGTTCGCCGAGGCGCATTCCAGCGTTCTCCGTTTAAAATCACCTCACAAAATAACCGCTAATTCATACGCGGCGCAACTGAAAAATATTCTTTTACCTGATGCCGGCAGGAATCTATCGTTCGAACCGTCCGTGATCGCCGGGATAATTCGACGTCTCCGGAATAATAGTCCCCTGGCCACAACGTCACCGCACTCATGCTTAAACACTCTGTCAACAAAATTATACTATTAGTTGTACTACATCTACAGAAGATCTATTGCATTATCATACTTTCCCGGCACCTGGAAAGTCACGAAAGTCACTTTTATCCCAAATCCCGGGAAACCGGAAAATTTCAGACGTATCAGTTTTCTCCCACTGTTAGGGAAAGTTTTCAACAGCTGCCTCCATAAGCACCTCGTAGAGTTCCTCGACCGGCGTAACATAACGGCGAACACTCTACAACCAACCAGATGGTCAGAATAGCCCAGTTAATATCTCATGAGATGAAGATTAAGAGATACACCGGTGCTGTCCTCATGGATCTCTCGGAAGTATTCGATACTGTGTGGCATCAAGCCTTATTATATGCATAAGCTCACCAAAATGGGCTTGAGTAATATTTTTGATAAGATCTCATGCAATCGTATTTGTCG